TCTATCGTCTGTCATTTATTTTGCTTCCCTCTTTTCCTTCCTTCCCTTTTCTACCCCATCTCCATTTCTGTCCCTGATGTAGGATCCCTTCCTATTTATTGTTGATTCTGAGATGAAAATCTAAAGAATGGCTGGCTGCCTGGGTCTAGGGCACCAGAGGAAATATCTCAATTTTCCCCACCCATCCCACGTTCTTAGTTACTGAGGCTGGTGAGGCATTCTCCGTGTTTGAGGAGATCCCCTAGGCTCAGAGATGAGGAGGCAGAGACAGAAAGACCCACACCTGGCTCTCTCCAGCCCTTTCCTTAATTGGCTCCTTGAGATCTGATGCTTGGTTTAACATCCTCTTTAACACGGTTCCACTGCTAGCTTCAGTCACAGGGATGCGTAGTGCTTGGGTGGAGAGGGCAGGATGACATAGTGAGATGGTCTGCAAGGGTCTAACCAGTAGGCACAGGTGTGTGAAAAGCCATCAACGCCATGGCCCAGCCATCTGCAGAAGCGTTTGGAGCTGGGGTACTGGCACTCAGGGCATTTAAATCTCCCCTCGGAACTCTATCAGCATCTCAAGCCAGTGACACGTGCCTGTTTCTTTGTCAGCACAGTCATGTAGGGCCGGCAGCTCCAGCACTGTGCACAGACGGAGCCATGAAGTACCCATGGTGAAGACAGCATGGCCATGGGGTCAGACTGCACGTGAGTGACAGTTACATAGGATGACCCCATTCATCTTCACTCAGGGCTTCTTTATTCCACAGGAAGCAAGTGGTTTTGGCATTTTTCTTGTCAGGCATTCGTGATGGCTAATATTGATTGTCGACTTCACAGGCTCTGCAGTTGCCATGGAAACAAACCTCTGGGCATGTCTATGATGGAATTTCTAGGTTAAGTTAATGGAAGCGGGAAGACCCACCCTAAATGCAGGTGGCACTGTTTCTTTCTCAGGGAGCCTGGGCTGAGTAAATGGAGAAAATGCAGAGAGCACCACCACCACCACCCATCTCTTCTCTGTTTCCTGACTGTGGTATACAGGCACAGGTATACCACTACCCAGACACAACCCCTGCCTGTGGTGATGTATTATTTATGATTTATTAAAGCTTTCCTGAGGGTTCAGGATGCGAAGCCAGCCACAAGACATATAGAACAGGGAGTGGTGATACACACCTTTAATCCCAGCATCCATAGAGCTAGGTGGTGGTGGCACACACCTTTAATCCTAGGACTCAGAAGACAGGCAGATGGATTTCTCTGAGTTCAAGGCCACCCTAGCCTACACAAGAGTGAAGAGTAAGAGAACTCATGCCTTTGATTCCAGCACTTGGGATCACACACCTTTAATTCCAGGTGGAGACAGGGGTGATATGGCTGGGCAGAGAAAGGGATATAAGGAGGAATTGACAGGAACTCAGACCTTTTGCCTCCGAGGACTCATGGAGACAGGATTGCCATCTCATCTTGGTAGAGCTAAGATCTAGTGGCTTGACTGCTTTTCTTTTCTGATAGTTAGCTTGAAGCTTGAATCCCAATATCAGTCCCTGGTTCTTTTATTTTTCATGTTACACCTGCCTGTATGCACTGATGGCTCAGCTGCCTGTGTCCATTAGCCAGAGTGGTGGCTTCATAGGTTTGGTGGATCACCCATTTTTTTTTTTTTTCTGTGAGCATGGACACACGAAGAGGGAAAACTTCCTGGCTTTTATTTTTTGAATAACTCTAGGTATTTCTGTATTCTCTGTGCTGCGAGATTGCATTTACTGACTTCATACAGCCTCTGGCCTCAGATAACCCCCTTCCTGATGGCAACATAGCGCATTTGTTTTCTCTCTGAATAAGTGAGATCTAAAATTACCCAGCATCTGCAATGCTTGAGTTAACACTGCCTTCCTTCCTTTCCCTTGTCTTTCCCAGAAGAAAATTAGTTTGGCATTTATGTCATTGATTCTGCCTTTTGAAACATCTATGGACATGCTTTTTCCTAGAGTAGGTCCCCTGCCTGATGGTATTATATCCAAAAAGTATTTTATGGTTTTGATATGTGTGACCCTCAGACTAAGGTCCCTCAGAGAGTGAATAGCTAGGATCCCAAGTCTAAGACTCTGATTTGAAAGTGAGCTCTACATTCTGTACTGTTCATTACTCATCAGCTTCAGGGAGAGGGAAGGTTGGTTTCAGGTTAAACAGGCTGTGAGTGGCTGTGTAGAGCTCCATTCACGGGAGAGATCAGGTCATGGTGCAAGGAATAAAACATGAACCAAATAAGACGTACAGAGTAAGATTCAGCCCTGGGGCAGTCGGAGAGTTTCAGAGGTGGGCTCTGAGGGCAGAATCACACGTTGGCTCATGGAGAGTTGTTCCTGTGAGCCCTCAGCTCTGGCTCTTAGCAGCTTTTCTGGGTGATGGATTTCTTACTCAAACCTTTTGCCACTTCAGAAACAGTAAAGGACTCTTGGTACATCTGAAGGATGGGGGCACATCAAGTCCTCCTGCTGAGATTCTACTGTGGTTGATTACAGGTGGCAGCAGATGGGTTGTCAACTATGGCTCAGATGGTCACAGTGACGTCTGGTTTGTATTAGGTATGGAAACCCTAAGGATTCTGGGCTCTGTCCATTCCATGGTCCTCTTCTTCGGTGGATGAATGTAGAGTCAGGTCTTCATTGTCCCTCATGTGGGCAGAAAGAGCACCCACTCTTTTTCCTACTTTGACTTGGTAAAGGCCACTGACCTGGCTCTGTCTTGATACAAAATGGGCTACAAAACATGGCTTTGTCTCAGAAGTCATCTCTCAGTGGGTGACAATCTCAGTCTTCTGTAAGACATTTGTATCTAGGTTGGGAGCCTCTTTTGGAGAGTCATTTCTAAGTCTTCTTCATACCTGTTATTCATGATTGGCCACCATTGATGAAGCTGAAATGGATTGTTCTAACTCATCTGTCACTCAGAATCCTTTTTTATTATTTATTTTAATTTTTAAAAATTAACATAAAATATTAGATATCATTTGGAATTTTAAAATATGTTTTGTATATCTTTCCCACCTTTTTGACTCTTCCTTTCCCCTGTTCCCTCTCCTTCTCCACCATTCTCTCCATACTTCTCCCTTCTCCTGTACCCTCTTGTCTTCTGTTTTCATGTTGCATGGAGTCTACTTTCTTTTTTAAATATTTATTTATTGCATTAAATTTTTTGAGCACTTTATACATGAGTGCTGTATTTACACACACACACACACACACACACACACACACACACACACACACACTCACACACACCTGAGTTCATTTAGTGTTGCTTACATGTGTACTTGTTTAGGGATGACAACTTGGGAGTGGATAACCTATCAGAGGCTTATCCCTGGAAAAGACTAATTCTTCCTTTCTCAGCAGCCAATAATTACAGCTCTTCATCTAGGAGTAGGGCCTTGTGAGGTCTCCATCGCTCAGTGGGTTTCTCAAATAGTATTGACATCATTCAGATCTTGTTTTGACGACCACATTTTTGAGATATCATGGGCAAAGCTTCTTTGTCATGTATAGACACTGCCTCTCAGCAGGCAGCCTGACCTATTGGTTCTCACAACTTTTCTGTTTCCTCTTCCTCAAAGGTCTGAACCTTAGGAGGATAGTTGTACTGTAGATGTCTCAATAGGACTTGGGCACCTTAGCCAATGTTCCCTGCACTTTGAATGGTTGCAGGTTATAGATTTGTGTATTGGTTTCTGTTTCCTACAAAAGGAACTACTACTACTACTACTACTACTACTAACTTTCTTCTTCTTCTTCTTCTTCTTCTTCTTCTTCTTCTTCTTCTTCTTCTTCTTCTTCTTCTTCTTCTTCTTCTTGGTTTTTTTGAGACAGGGTTTCTCTGTATTGCTTTGGAATCTGTCCTGGAACTCACTCTGTAGACCAAACTGGTCTCAAACTCACAGAGATCAGCCTGCCTCTGCCTCCCGAGTGCTGGGGCTAAAGGTGTGCATCACCACGCCCGGCTCAAAAGGAGCTTCTTTGATGAGTGATGAGAGCTGCACTTAATTGTGGGTTTAAAGATAAGTGTGCAGAATGTAGCTAGAAACAACACTGGTTTAGGAGAGGGTCTGTAGTAGATTCTCCTCTAAGATCCATGATCTCACCAGCCATGGGTAGTTGGAAATGGAGTTCTTAATTGGTCTAGATAATATGAGTCAGATATAGAGGAAGATGCTGAGAGATCAGAGAGGAGCAAGCCATCACCACATCTTACTTCCTTAGCCTCTCAGCAGACAAGAGAGTGAGTTCCTGTTTCTCCATGCTTATATCCTGTTTCCACACAGCTACCTCACTTCCTGTCTGTCTGTACAGACCTCCAGACCTCTATGGTTAGCTAGTGGGCAAGCTCCATTCTCTGACCTTCAGACAGGCTTTATTTGTACAAGCAAGATATCACCACAGGTGGTTGGCTAGGTTTATAGTAGGAGGTTGAATTCCCTCCTACCAAGTGGGAGGTTGGTTTCCCCTAAAGTGTAAGTGTTACTATTGCACCCTTGGGGATATTTGGGCATGCCAGTCATTGTAGTTCTTAGACTTTATAGCTGGGTAGAACTGTTGATTGCCTTTCTGCCTTAGTAGCTTGAATGGCACCTTCAGACATTATGAGAGCTAGTACACATGGAAAAGGCTTCCAGTCAGTTCCAGCTCTATTCTTCCAAGTTGTCTGTGTAAAATGTGAGAGATCTTCAGCAATATGGAGGTAACCAAGTTCAGGGAGGTCACCTTAGGCAACAGTAATAGCCTACATTGTTTTAAGAGTCACTTTAGTTCACCTGATTAACAACTTGAAGAGAGGTTTCCAATTATTGGCACTGAGGTTTTTGAAAGTCACATGTAAACATGTAAACATGTAAAGATGCACAACTTGTTCAGGGCTAGCTCTGGAAGTCAACAAGGGAAGGGAGTGCATCTGATTACAGATGCTCCTCTAGGAGTCACTCCGGGGTTAGTGTAAGAGCTCCTGCACCCTTTAGTATGAGTTCATTATCTCAGGTCATCAATCAGATGGCTTTGTCTTCAGGATGGAAGCTGTGTCAAACTCCCCAGGTCCCCAGAGCTTTGCTGGTTGTCTTACCTGAAATTCAATCTCAGCAGCTCCTGGTTGTTGATGTTGAGAGATGGTACTCAGTGCTGCTTTTCTTGTTTGTTTGTTTCAAAATATATGTGTGAACAATGTGACTGAATCCCCCCACAGGGAAGTCTGAAGGATCTTATGATTTTAGAATAAAGAGACATTTGAACCTGGAGAAAATAAAAATGAAACCTCCAGTATTTTGAAACATAGGGAGGCAAATAACTCTTAAGTCCCATAGAGTCGAACAAGCAATTTTGGTATTACCAGCCTTCTGCACAGAGGAGAGACTAGAGTAAAGTTCACAGCCCTCTGAGTATTTTTGAAATAAAAATTCAGTGTTTAGAGACTGAACTTGTGATACCAAGAAAGCAAGCCTTTCCTACCTGCTGTGACGGAATGAAGGTTAAAAGAACTCTCCAGATAATGGGTTTCAGATAGCTAATGTCTTAGCAAAACTGATCCCTGGAGGACAGCTCAGAGCTGGAGCTGTTGTCCCTGAAAAGATATTTCAGCATGAAAATAGGTCATTGATGGAGAACTGCTATTTCTCCGCATGCCCAGGATCACCTTCCCCAAGCTAGTTAGTTCATTTGTATGCAGAGGGACAGCAGAACCCATCTAGACCTATGTTCATGGTCACAATATCCCCACTGTGCCCAGGTCACCGGGTACTGTGGATTGTATACTTCATCATCCTTTACCACTGGCATCCACCAGAGACAAGTCCAAATCCAGTTGCTAATTTAAGTTGTGGTTTTTACAAAACAATTCATATTTATCTAAGCAGCACAGGTTTAGTTATCTAAAAGCCCACACACAAAGTGAGTTACGCTGCCTCCCAGAATGTGATAAATGGGGCCTTTGAGGCACAAGGAGACAAAACAACATTCAAGAAACAAACCCTTTCACTCCAGGCTTCAAAATAGAATACAGATATGTTTAAAAAACATAAAAGCAGTAAATTAAGATATCTGGCATATTGGTGCTCAGCTTGAACTAATAGAAGATAAGAATATTAGTTAATAACAGAAGATAAAGACAATTAATTATACATGATTTTTGTTTAAACCATGAGAATGGCCTTCACTTAATTTTGAACCCAGCAGGAAATGATGCCTAGTTTATACTATAAACAATGGTGGTCTTGTGGTCTGGTTGCCATCAAGGTCTTCAGAGAGGAGGGCTGGAGAAATTTGGGTCCCGGCAAGACACTCATTTCTTCTGATGCTTCTCTATGATATGATTTGATTTGCCTTTCTGATAATCTGACATGTCAACTGATCTGCTTCCTAAGACTCAAAAATATTTGTACATTTCATGGTTGTTTTTTTTTTTAACAGCCCTACATGGAATTACATTTATGGATGTCAGAACTAGGAGCCACCCACCTGTCACTTACCTTTTCCTGTGCCCTGATTTAGTTCAGCAGTTGATAGACCCATTGAGTGATAGCATTCTGACTACCATGAAGTCACGGATGTCCAGTTCTGTGCCTACACCTCTGTTTGACACCATGGACGCCATCATGATCAACAATAGAAGGTTCTAGAGAGAACAGAAGATCTGCAGTCTTTATCAGCAATAGAAGGTTCCAGAGAGAGGAAGAGAGAGAGGAGACCAGAGATGGAAAGAAGGCAAGAGTCTCTCTTCTCTGTCAGCTTCAGCCCTGTCATGTCCAACACAGCATAGCACATTATGATTGGAGTTTTTCCATGGAAAGAGCACATCATTACATGGCTACTTATCATCTTAAAACACTCGTGTGTGCTGTAGCATACCTGTGCAGAGACCCCAGCACCTTGGAGGTCTAGATGGTGGTTCATTGGAGACTCCTCTGTGTGCACAGACACCCTCATCTGGACCTACAGTTTCAGTCTTGTGAGGCATTTTTTTCCTGGTATGTGAACACAATGAACTATATTATTCAGGCATAAGGAAGAAAAAAATCTTATTTTCTGGAAAATAGATGAGAAATGAGATTATCACCTTAAGTGACATAAGCCAGGGACAAGATAAAAGCCATACTTCCTCCCTCATGTGGTCTTAATAAAAAAGACACAAAGGTGTAAGTTTAGGGATATGGAGAGGAGACTCAGAAGGGAGAATAGCAGAGGGGCGAGTAGAGTTCTCAGGGTGTATTATATACATGGAGGAAGGTGTCTGAATAAGACATCACTTTGTACAGCCAGTATACACTGTACACCCCATCCACAGTGCTTTAGGAACACAGTCATGCTACCTATACATGGAGGAAAGTGTCCAAATGACACATCCCTTTGTAGAGCCCATACACACAGTACACCCAATCCACAGTGCCTTATACACATAGTCATGCTACCTATGGACAGAAGAAGGCCTGCCATCTGCAGTGACACAGGGATGATATGGCACCATGCCAGCCTCCCATGTTTTGATAACTCCAGCTTCTACCTGTGCTCCCCTCAGCTCTGGGGAAAGATGGCTGCTTTATTTTAGGATGCCCTCAGTGCTCTCTTTCTATTTTCCTATGTATCTTGATTATTCTGTATTTTGGCCTTCTGTGATAGTCTCTCATGTGATTTCTTGTCCCTGACTGGGCAGGCAGGCATAATACCCATATTCCCAAGTCAGATTGTTATCATTAATTTTATGGATAATAAAAATGTCACTTTAAAGAAAACTGCACACAACTCAATTTTCTATATGCTACAAAAGAATGAAACTATGATTCAAGACTATTGGTGAAAGTGTATCACTGAAAAGTCAGGTCAGAAGACATGAAAAAGGGATGCGCTGGCTCATTAAGTCAAGTGGCTGAGCAAACACTGGGCCCTTGAGCTGTAGGGGATGAGCTGGGGCTGGGGCCATTGTCCTCAAAAGACATCAGAGCATGGAGAATAGTCACTGGCAGGAAAAGCTATTGCTTCAAAGGACCTGACCCTGTTTCCTTCTCCACCGATAGGAGGCACTTGGACCAACTGGGGACAGGGATATTTGCCACCTTCCAGCATGGCTGGACCAAGTGGCCCAACATCTGTTATTGTATCTTAATCTTGTTTTCTCCATGCTGTTTCTGCTTCAGGCATCTCTTTCTAGTGATTTCTAGCTTGCTACCCTCACTCTCAGCTTATTCTTTTATGCCAACATCCCAGCCCTGACCCTGGGAAAACCACATCAAAATTTTTGTGAATTATGTGTGGTGGGATGGATGATATTCAGATGGTCTAAGGTCACACCAATACACCTGCTTGGCGACAGGGAAACAGAATCACTTTCACCAAAAATAAATTGACCAGTTGTAGCTGTGGGTTTCCCAGACATAACCGGGTTCTGTGAGGAGATGAGAAGGAAACAAATGTTGACCTCTAAAACCAACAGATGCCCCTTACAGAATGAGCTGTGAACAAGGAGAGCTGCATGAGAAAGACCATTGTGGAGCCTGTCTGTCTCCCTCAGGACCTGAGTTAGAGACACAGGAATTCAAGTGTCTAGCTGCTGTGTCTTTGGATGTACCCAATGCTCCAGTTTATGACAGATGGTGGAAAACAAGAATCAGCCACGCAGCTTGGTGCAGTAGTGGGCAATTGTAGCTAGAGGTTTCTGTCCTGCCAGATCCCTCAGGCCCTTCAGCCCCAAATAAAGACACTGATGCTATATTAATTGTGAAACTGTTGGCTGATGTCTAGGGCTGCTTACTGGCTGGCCCTCTCTTAGTTATTAACCCATTTCTATTTTTTTTTATTTTAGAAGCACTCTTATTTACATATCAATCCCCCATTCCCCCCCCAGCCCCCATCCTCCCATGCTCACCACCAGCCCCCCAAGCCACCCCACCCACTCCCCAGGGATAGTGAGGCCCTCTACAGGGGACCATCCAAGTCTGTCACATCATTTTGGGGGGGGCGGTCCAGG